ATGAAACGGTCTAAATATTCCCGAAATACATTGGTTATCAAGTTACAGAATATAGCAGGGGCGTTGGTTAAGCCGAAAGGCATGACTAAAAACTCATATGACCCATACCTTGTCACACAAGCAGTCTTCGCCTCATCTCCCTCTGTAATTTTGACTTGATGATATCCCAGCCGCAAGTCCATCTTGGTGAAGAAAATTATCTTTCCCAATCTATCAAATAATTCATCAACAAGCGGCACTGGATAGTTGTTCTTGACAGTGACTTTGTTGAGGGCTCTGTAGTCTACACAAAGCCGTAAGGATTCGTCCTTCTTTTTCTGAAACAGAACAGGGGCACCATAGGGTGCCTTGGAAGGATGAATGAACCCAATGTCCAATAAACCCCCAAGCTGTCTCTTAGCTCTGCCAACTTTGATGGAGACATTCGATAAGGAGTTTGGGCAGAGATTTTTGCCCCTGGAATCAACTTGATGGCATGGTCAATCTCCCGTCTTGGCGGTAATCTTGCTGGCAATTCTTTAGGTGTCACGTCCTTGAACTCAACCAGCAACTGTTGCACTGGTTCAGGGACTTGCAATGCTTTGGATTCCTCTTCCTCAAATAGAACAGTCAAGTATGTTGTTTTCCCCCTCCACAAGCCATCTTTTACTTGCAAGAAAGACAATATTTCCCCCTGAAGACTTGACCTTAGTGAGGGGAACAAAGCAGGGATTGAGTATGTCCATCACGAACATCCCATGTAAATGCGGCATAACAGACACCTTTGCCTTTGTAAGGACTTGCAGTCCAAGGATTACCTGAAAATCATCGAGAGGGACTGCCATAAAATCACATGGTCCTTGCCAATCACCAACTTCTAAAGGGACTTCTCTTGCGACGTCGCCTACTGGTTTTGCCTCTGAATTAACAGTCTTAATCTGGCTAGAGTCTTTCACCAAAGTCAGACCAAGCCACTGTACTTCCCGGTCAGAAACAAAATTATGGGTTGGACTTGTATCAACCATTGCCTAGATAGTCACATTGTTCAGGCGAATCTGCACAAACATTAACCTTTTCTTTGCCATTGTCTCCTCTTTGCGAATTGCATTAAGGAATTGTAATGGGTTGACTCGTGTTGGTTCGTCAAAACAGTTAGTTTCCTCAGCCATGAGGGCATTGAGCTTTTCCTTCTTGGGGCAATTTCTGGCACAATGAGGACCATTACAGATAAAACAGCCTGAGTCAGCACCTCCCTTTGATGAAGAGGCTTTGTCAGTCGATTTTTTTGAATTGTCAAACTTCTCAACCTTTTTCTTTTGCTTGTCCTTCTTAAGGAACTTGACTTTCGCTTTTGACTCTTTCTCTGGAGGGTTAGCCTGCGTTTTGTAGTTAACCAACGTGTCTGTTGCGGACATAGCAGTGGGTAAGTCCTTCACCCCTTGCCGACGAAGTTCTGCCTGTGCCCAAGTTTGGAGGCCAGACATAAAGTTGAACAGCTTGTCTTCCTCTGACATATTTTTGATGTCAAGCATCAGAGACAAGAATTGCTTCACGTACTCTCTCACGGTGCTTGTATGTTGAAGTTTCCTCAATGCATCACGGGCTTGTCAAGCCGTGTTGCTGGGAAGGAATTGCTCCTTCATTTCAGCGGACAGAGACTCCCAAGTAGTAATTAGAGGACGAGATTTGTCCTCAGAACGTGTTCGTAACCATAATTTAGCATCACCAGACAGGTACATGCTAGTGAGATCTACCTTCTCAGCATCCGGAGTGCGAACTGCTTTGCAGTAGTGCCTCATATCTCACAGAAAGTTCTCGAGTTCTTTAGCATTACGACTGTCTGTGAAAGGCTTAGGGTCAGACACTTTAGCTTTTTGAGTGCTTTCACTACCAGAAGCCAAAGAAGTATTCTGCAGTGCCTTCTTGAGCACTGAAACGTCTGTCTCGAGGGAATTCAATTTTTCCCCCATACATCTGTCCATGTGGAGACCGTAGCCAGTACGTCAACAACTTCATTTTTCACTCGACTGAAGTGATCAGATTCAGTCTTTTGAAGCTGTTCATGTGCAACACGCATCTCTTCAAACCGCTAATACAGCAACTCAAGTTGCACAAAGAGAGCCACAGCATCACCGGACTGTAGAGGACCAACCAACTCCTCCAAACGTGCCACCTTTTACCTCAAATTAGCATTCGCTCCGCCAATCATAGTTGATCTTTTGCCAAAACCACGCTTTGATACCAAAATGTCACGGGATAACTTTCATTTTTTTTCGAGGCTACCTGTGAAGGCGTTGCTATTGCAACTAGCCACACACAAACTCAAGAATAAGGGATAGAAACTCACGTAGAAGGCACACACGAATTTAGTGGAACAAAACTCTCAAACCTTATATATTGAACTCAACAATTTACAAGGAACTCTCAAAGCCAGAACACTCTCCCCCTATCAGAATGTTCAAGCACCCCTATTTATACGGGAGTAAGGCAGATGACACCCTCATCTGCCAAGGGGTAGTTACACACGTTTTTTCTATTCCATAGCATACTTGGCTAGCAGGCTTGTTCTCTATGCGACACCTGTCAGGCAGTTTTGCCCATTTCAGTAACTGATGTGGAACTGCCCTTTATCATCATGCATCTGCACTGGATTCAGACTATGGACGCCCAGAACTGCCTCCGCAACTGCCTTGACTGTATCTCAGCATCTGCAACTACCCACATCCTTCTAGTCACATGCATTGAGCAGCCATGTGCCAGTCATGCACCCACATTTAGCAGTCAGCATTGTTTCACGAACCAATGTACATGCTTGGTTCAACTCATGCCATGCAATCCGAAGCTATGCACCCACATTGCTTCAATTGAGCCCACCACGTGCTGCCATGCTCAATCGGGTAGTCTCATGCTACCTTGGTTCGTCCCAATCTATCGAACCACTTAACCGCGTCACCTTGATTCCAACTTATGGCATGCCTTGGTACAAGGTGCCACCAAGACCGACCCTTTGCACCCAAGTCAGTTAGGGTGTGACAAGTGAGAATTTGTGCTTCGATTTGATAACATTGATTCGGGGGTTGCGACTCACCCATTCATGTGGGTTTTACAGATCTAGAGATAGATAAATAGAATTTTCAGATCTGGGATTTGTTGCATGGAGGGGGCAAGGGCCCTGTGGGATCTGTGAGAGAGAGAGAGAGAGGAGGAGGAGGAGGGGAGGAGTGGTGGTGGTGGTTATCAGGTGGGGGTAAGGGATAAGTGAAATGTGAGAAGAGAGAGATTTTTTATTTGACTCATCAATTTAATTTTTTGGTAATAAATTTTTTTACTATGTATTTATTTTAAATTAAATTAAAGGGTTAAAAGTCATTTTATGACTTCTATTAATACCGGTCACCATTGAAACCGCTAAGGGGCCGCTATGTCATTTTAGAAATGTCAAGGAGTTTCAGTGTCATTTAGTGAAATAATAAGAGATGTGAGCAAAATTTATCATAAAACTTATTATATTTAAGTGAGCATATCACTTACACATGCTCAATGATTTGCTAAAAATAAAATTGAAGAAAAAATATAAGAAGAGATTTGAATCCGACTCCAAATGACATAATTTAAGAAAGTGGAATAAATTACTCTACAAATATAAGAAAAGTATATGACATGAAAAAAAAAAAGACAAAAAATGACTAATAAACAGAACTTGCATTGCATAAACAATATTTAGTAGCGAACACTCCTATAAGAAACAAAATAATGGCAATAACAATATGAGAACCCATGAGTGGGAATATGTGGGTCAATAATGATATGTGTATCACTTTTATGCATCACTTTGTCAATACCATTTGATTTTGGTATAATCTGAACCTTTAAATATTGAGTAAATTCAATAAGACTCGTTAATCTAATGATTTATATTAAGGTGGTATATAAAGATGGTGTATGTTATTGAGGATATGATGGGGGTAATTATGGTGAATGCTAGCATTGGTGGTGAAGGTGGTGGCGGCCAGAAGAGTTGTTGTTATCTTGTTCATCGTTCAATTTCATTTACCGAGATTTATAAAGGGTAATATTTTTAAATTTTAAAAATTTAAACTAATTTATTGATTAAATTAGTAATTTGATAAATAATATAGTTTCAATGAATAAACTCAAAAGTCGTGGTTAAAATAATATTATCTTAAAACATACTATTAATAACATCAAAATCTATCATCACCATTACAATTACTCTTTTAGCAGTTCATTCACATTTGTATCTCTCTTTGTTTACAACTAAAATTCCGTTCTTAGAGCTCGAAGTGGACTTCCATATCCAAAGATTGGAATATTACACAACCAAGAGATCCGATTTGAAAACGGATGCTCAACTCTAGAGTTTTTCGATCCATCTATCGTTGTTTAAATCGATCTTTTTTCCAATGAATTCATCAAATTAAACCCTTTAAAGTATCAACCTCAAAAAACGTATCGAACATTAGTTTTTCTTCGAATTAGGCCTAATTTGGATGGAAAAAATCAAGAATGGGAATGCATGCAAGTGCCATTTCTATTTCATATCATTTATATATTGGATACTTGGTTATTCATAGTAGAAATCTAAACCATCGAGAGAGTGGATCTTTTTTCGACCCATCTACCCTTGTTTAAATCTAAATCCCCTTCCTCACATCCTTTGTTACAACCATAATAAATGGAAAAAAAAATTAAAAGATATTTGATAAGTTTAAATACTTCAAAATAAAATTGTTGAATTCTTGTAAGAATAATATTTGAGAAAGATTATATATAAATGATATCAAATCAATCTTACTGCACCAAACTCGATATTATATACAACATTTGTGTCATAAAGAAAATCAAAACCATGATGTAGTCATTAGTAAAGACCGCATAACAAAAAGCTGTTTAAAATAATCACATATACATGAAAATTCGATTAAATTTTCAAATTAAATTTAAATAATATTTTTAAAAAAATAAACAATACTCATGCATTTTTCACGCCACGTCACCTTCTATACTACTGACATTGAAATGCAACCGCAACCAAATGACCTAGGCAACACGGCAGCAATATAGGATCTATTTCTCAACGACCTGGCCACATTCCCCAATTGACTCTTCCCTCTAGTTCTAGTAGTCCCACAACCATTACTTGTAACCACCTCTACGCCGGAGGAGGCCGGAAACATCGGCGCCGGAACACGGCGGCCTTGCCTCTCTTTGATAGCCGTTAGCTCCATCTCCGGCTTGAACTTCACCGGCCCAAACATGAACATCCGACGCCTTGACTTCGCCGACATCGATGTGAGAGAGGTTATGTTCACCTTCTGTACTGAAGAAGAAGAAGAAGAACACGACGACTTAGAGAGGTACCCGTCCGAACTCGAAAGCCGGAAGGACTTTGACAGGTTCTTCGCCTGAAAACGGTCTGTTTCATCTGTCAAAAGCTGATAATTCCGAGGTTTGACGAACGAAGCCGACCTGTTTAAGCTTAAATAGTCTCGCTTTTGATACTCGTTCTTGAGTTGATTATCGTTCTCATGACCGATGATTTTTCCGCAGAAAATGAGGTTCTGGGTGGGGTAGGTGAAAGTTTCAGAGGTTAAACCTGTGAAGAACTCGAATAGTTCTTGGGCTGAGGAGGTTCGTGGGCTCTGTTGGAGAGAGTCACCGCCACCGCCGTCGTGTTGGCCGTTTGTTGGGAGGTTGCGGAAAGAAAGTGTGTCGTCGTAGTCTTCTTCTTCTTCAAAGTAGTCGAAAATGATGTTTCCTTTATCTTCCATTTTTCTCAAGATGAATGAAAAGAGATCAAGGGTAATGAAGTTTGGAATGATGAGAGAAATAATGACAAGAGCTGTGGAGAAATGTTATAGGAAATAGACTGGTATATATACGAGTGCATGAGAGAGAGAGAGAGGGGGGGGGGGATGTTTCTTTCATGCAACGGCTTCTAGAGATGGGGCCTGATATGAGAGAGAGATAGAGAGGATGATTCTTAATTTGGTGTAATGGCTTCTAGAGAGGGGTCCTGACTCCTGTTGATAATGATAAAAAAATGGGGAAGAAAGAGTAAGACAGGGGACTAGTAAATGATCAAAACTAGTAGAAGAGCAGGAGGGTCATAAATGGTTAAGACTTTGATTAAAGAAGAAAACGAAGAGAAGAAAAAAGGGGTTTCTAGAAGCCATATATGTAAAATCTGCCTGTGTCTATTCATCACCTCCCCAAGTAACAATTTTTTTGTTTTTTTTGTCCTTTTTTTTAAGAGGAATGTTTCAGTCGATTTACGAATATTTTGATTAATTTTATTTTTAATTTGATCGAAGGCATACCGTCTATATAAAAATTAGAGTATTTATGAAAAATAAATTTTTCGTAACTTGGTTCTAAGAGATTATCAAAATTTAAATTTAAAATTTATATTTCGTCTTTTTTACCACTTAAATAACTTTTAGGTTTTCTCCCCTAATAAAATCATTGAAAGAAAATGAAGGATTACGCCAATGGAGTTAATTAAAAAGAGTATCACCAACTAAAATTCAGGAAAAAAAAATCAGTAGGTCAATTTTTTTTAATTATATTTTTGTCCCCAGTGAGGTATATGATCCTGGCTTTGAGTTTAAAGATAGTTAATTGGCATTAGATCGTAATAAATAACCAAATCATGGAAACTATTTCACAATTTATACAATCCAAAAAATGTTCAGCCTTGAAGGAACAAAACATTAGCAGAAAGGGAAGAGTTCAGTTTTTTTTGCAAAAGGTGGTCTATTGTTTATCTCAAAGTTTGTATTCCTATCCACTTTTTTTAATTGATACGAAATCTTATGTGTTTTGTTGATCTGACTTGTATTTTGGACTAAATATTTTGAGATTAATTAGGACATTTGTGAAGTGTGCATAGGACATAGTTTGTGAAATACAATTGTGGCCCTACGGGATTTGATTGTTTAGTTTGATTATAATTCTGCAGTGTGTGATTGTTTCGTATGGGTATGAATTTTTATGTTCAAGTGATACTTGTCTTCTTACCAAGATGAACCAAATATGAGGTTACATTTAATAGAAATTGAGCTATGTAACTTGTCAAAATTGATTCTCGACTCCGTTGTTCATGATTTCTATCATCTGAATTATCTAATATTTAATCATTCATATTTTTTATCGTTAAACATATTATTCTCTGTCATATTATATTCTTTTCTATTTTTAATATTTTTTAAAATAATCTAAAAAAAAAGACCAGAATTGATATATTAGAGGAATTAGAGATAGACAAATCTCGATATAATTTTTATAAAATTCATTTGTGTGTTTGTAGTATATTGGGGTCGATCTATTAATTAACACAACCAAAAAATTGGGTAATTGAAAATTATATTTATTTAATTTTGAGATAATTAGAACTTTAACCCTATATTTTGAGATGTATTTATGGCATACTGCGATTGAGTAACGCAACCAAAAGGTATGATTGATTTATCTAGTAACGCAACTGCACAATCGAGACAGGTCTCTTGAGAGGATTGATTCGAAGGGGGTGTTAGTCAGTGTTTGGTTGATTATCCCAATTAACAGCCCCTTCTGTCCAGAGAGCAATGCAAATATTGTAAGCCACATTATCTGTTCCAGCACAAAAGGTTTCATCACCTTTCTGTGCCTCTGGGGTAACAACACAGCAGAGAACTAAAACTCCCACACTAATGAAAATTAAGAACATAACAATCCAGTTTAAATGTTTCAATAGAAGAGCAATAGACAACCACAGACTGAAGACTCACCACCGACGATCAAGCACCCAGTTCTGGGACCAGGAGCCCGAAAAAGGTGAAAACTTAAAACTAACACCATTAAAACCCAAGTCTTTAGCATGACAATAACAACAGCCTTCGATTGAAGGCTGTACCTGCACGGTTCACTTGGCACCCTTCTTGGCAGCAGCTTTTGTGACCTTGGCTCCCGAAGGTTCCTTCTTGTCCACGCTCTTGATGACTCCCACAGCCACGGTCTGCCTCATGTCCCTGACGGCAAAACGCCCAAGTGGGGGATACTCGGAGAAAGTCTCCACCACCATGGGCTTAGTGGGAATCATCTTAACGAACCCGGCATCACCATTCTTCAAAAACTTGGGCTCCTTCTCAAGCTCCTTACCAGATCGCCTGTCAATCTTGGTAAGAATTTCAGAAAACTTGACTGCAATGTGGGAAGTGTGGCAATCAAGAACTGGGGCATAACCATTGCCAATCTGACCAGGGTGGTTCATGATGATAACTTGTGATGTGAAGTTAGCAGCCTCCTTGGCAGGATCATCCTTAGAATTTGATGCAACAAACCCACGCTTGAGATCCTTAACAGCAACATTCTTCACATTAAATCCAACATTGTCACCAGGAAGAGCCTCCTGGAGAGCCTCGTGGTGCATCTCCACAGACTTAACTTCAGTAGTCAGGCCAGTTGGGCCAAATGTTACAACCATTCCAGGCTTTATGATACCCGTCTCAACACGTCCCACGGGGACAGTTCCAATACCTCCAATCTTGTAAACATCCTGAAGTGGAAGGCGAAGGGGCTTGTCTGAGGGTCTCTTGGGCTCTTGAATCATGTCAAGGGCCTCAAGAAGGGTGGGGCCCTTGTACCAGTCGAGGTTGGTGGATCTCTCAATCATATTGTCCCCTTCAAATCCAGAGATGGGAACAAATGGGATTTTGTCAGGGTTGTATCCCACCTTCTTCAGATAGGATGAGACTTCCTTCACGATTTCATCATACCTTGCCTTGGAGTACTTGGGGGTAGTGGCATCCATCTATAAGAGGGAAAAAAAAAGAATCTTCGACATTCATCACAGCCAAATAACAAAATGTCAAATAACATTCAGGGCCTACAACATCCGCAGCACAATTGACTAACCACACTAATTCCCCATATAATTAGAAACCTGAGATTAAATTATTTAAAATAATCAATTGACTAACCACACTAATTCCCCATATAATTAGAAACCTGAGATTAAATTATTTAAAATAATCAATCTAGTGTTATCGATTGAAAGGTTCAAAGGAGAAAGCAATTCCAATTTCTGTACTACTTAATCCAAATTATAGGTGTCACTGTCCAAACAACAATATAATAACCAATGTACATAGGAGCTAACCTTGTTGCAGCAACAAATCATCTGCTTCACACCAAGGGTAAAAGCAAGCAGGGCGTGCTCACGGGTCTGGCCATCCTTGGAGATGCCAGCTTCAAAACCTCCAGTGGTGGAGTCAATAATAAGGACAGCACAATCTGCTTGGGAAGTTCCAGTGATCATATTCTTGATGAAATCACGGTGTCCAGGAGCATCGATGACTGTGCAATAGTACTTGGTAGTCTCAAACTTCCACAATGCAATGTCAATGGTAATACCACGCTCACGCTCAGCCTTGAGCTTGTCCAGCACCCAGGCATACTTGAATGAACGCTTGTTCATCTCAGCAGCTTCTTTCTCAAACCTCTCAATCACACGCTTATCAATACCTCCTAGCTTGTAGATGAGATGACCGGTGGTGGTTGACTTGCCAGAATCAACATGGCCAATGACCACAATGCTGATGTGAACCTTTTCTTTACCCATTTTGAATGGCTAGGAACTGTAATACAAAAGAAGAGAGAACTTCTCCTTGAGATTAGTATTTCCAAGACAAACACCTCTGCTGAAACTAAGAAATTGCACAGGAACTTCAAAATTCAATTTGGTTTCACAGATTTACTGGAGAAATGGAAACAGAAATATAAATGGTAAAAGAGGAAGGACAACTTTCATCCTATTCCTCCTCGGTAACCAAAACTTGGAACTAAAATTTTCACACAATTGATTGGGTATTATGAAGCAAGAAAAGAGAAATGACACATTAAGTGAAACACTTTTTCCAACTATCCATCATTGTATTTTTTCAGTGTACTTTCCACAGATTCATTTTTTCTTTTTCCTCATTCTACACAAGAGTTGAGATCATAAACAGAGGATTCAACACTCTACTTAAGAGATCAACTACAACATCATACATATTAGACAACAAGTATGGTAGAAAAGGATAATATAACAAACTATTTTCAAACAAACATATTTGATTGACCACAAAGTCATACACATTTAGACAAGAAGATCGATTAAGAAAATGTGTTGAAATACAACCAANCTAGTGTTATCGATTGAAAGGTTCAAAGGAGAAAGCAATTCCAATTTCTGTACTACTTAATCCAAATTATAGGTGTCACTGTCCAAACAACAATATAATAACCAATGTACATAGGAGCTAACCTTGTTGCAGCAACAAATCATCTGCTTCACACCAAGGGTAAAAGCAAGCAGGGCGTGCTCACGGGTCTGGCCATCCTTGGAGATGCCAGCTTCAAAACCTCCAGTGGTGGAGTCAATAATAAGGACAGCACAATCTGCTTGGGAAGTTCCAGTGATCATATTCTTGATGAAATCACGGTGTCCAGGAGCATCGATGACTGTGCAATAGTACTTGGTAGTCTCAAACTTCCACAATGCAATGTCAATGGTAATACCACGCTCACGCTCAGCCTTGAGCTTGTCCAGCACCCAGGCATACTTGAATGAACGCTTGTTCATCTCAGCAGCTTCTTTCTCAAACCTCTCAATCACACGCTTATCAATACCTCCTAGCTTGTAGATGAGATGACCGGTGGTGGTTGACTTGCCAGAATCAACATGGCCAATGACCACAATGCTGATGTGAACCTTTTCTTTACCCATTTTGAATGGCTAGGAACTGTAATACAAAAGAAGAGAGAACTTCTCCTTGAGATTAGTATTTCCAAGACAAACACCTCTGCTGAAACTAAGAAATTGCACAGGAACTTCAAAATTCAATTTGGTTTCACAGATTTACTGGAGAAATGGAAACAGAAATATAAATGGTAAAAGAGGAAGGACAACTTTCATCCTATTCCTCCTCGGTAACCAAAACTTGGAACTAAAATTTTCACACAATTGATTGGGTATTATGAAGCAAGAAAAGAGAAATGACACATTAAGTGAAACACTTTTTCCAACTATCCATCATTGTATTTTTTCAGTGTACTTTCCACAGATTCATTTTTTCTTTTTCCTCATTCTACACAAGAGTTGAGATCATAAACAGAGGATTCAACACTCTACTTAAGAGATCAACTACAACATCATACATATTAGACAACAAGTATGGTAGAAAAGGATAATATAACAAACTATTTTCAAACAAACATATTTGATTGACCACAAAGTCATACACATTTAGACAAGAAGATCGATTAAGAAAATGTGTTGAAATACAACCAAAAATTTTAAATCAAACATCCTCAAATTGTTATACACAAGATTGCAACTTATGGAAGTAAAAGCAGTTTCTTTCTATGAGACCATATGGTCTTTTGACAGTTCTAGGAGGCCAAGATCCCCCAAAAAGAATATTCACATAAAACGCAACAAGAAAAACATGCATTCCCATGGGAAAACATACCAACAAAGCAATAATGAAACAAGCAAAATGAGACAATGAAATCACATGCAAAATAAAATCTTATAAAACCAATCAGGTAACATTACTTTTAAGAACTGTGAATCCGATAATTTGTACTGAAATTTTGTACAGATTTATACACCAGTTAAAACAGGTTACATACTATTTATTAGTTCAAGTCTAAAAGACAATTTGTCTTGAATGATAAAAAATTTTGTATGATAAAATATAAATTCATCAAAAGTTGATAATAATGGTTCACTAAAGCCAAAACAATATAATCTAATCAACATCATCAGTACAAAATTGCCGAATATAAAGTACTTGTAATAAGAAACAACCGCCGCACATAACCAGATTCCCCATTGAGCAATGAAAAGTTCCATAGACACATATATACACACCAGTATAAATTACTGACAGACTACATACACTTAACAATAATACAAGACAAAAACTCAACATTCCTAATCGAACCTAATAGATCTACTTCCAAGCCACATTGATAAAGATACTACAATTTGTACGTAATTAAGCAACAAATGAGGTCAAAACCAAAAGTTAACTCACATAAACCCAATATTCCCAATCGACCCTAACAGATCTACATCTAAGAAAAGGAACCCGCTAAACACCAAACAGTGTTAGTTTTAACATCATCTAACAAACAACCAAGCAAGAAACATAAACTGACACCAAAAGACAGATAGATATACACACACATGATGCACAAAAGAAAAAACATGAGCACTCCCGTGGAAAACACAATGACAATTCAATAATGATACATGCCATCCATAACCAAATACAAATTTATGACTTCATAAGGAAGCCGTTGAAGGCTTTCCACAAATTGAGCACAATTACCGTCTTATAGAAGCCATCAAGACTATCTCCTTGAGAAGAGTGAATCAGATGAATTGTTATTAAAATTTTGTATAAATTTATACACATGCTAAAATAGAATATAACCTATATCAGTTTATTTATGAAAGACGAATCTACTTCAATAACAAATCAAATAATCATATCAACGTTTGTACAAAAATTGCTCAACATAAACTACGAAGTACAATCGATGTACATTCACAGATTCACCACTGATCAAAGTTTAGCTCCATATACGCATACAGAACTAACTATACATCATCAACGCAAAAAATAACCTTAGCAATTAGAAGAGAGATAAATGGAACATTCCTAATATAACCTAACAGATCTAATCAGAGAAACAGGGATACATAGAGCACAATTCAAACAGAATTAAGCAACAAATAAGATCAAAAGCAAAAACTGACTGATCTAAGACAAGTAAACCGATAAACACGAAACAGAATTAGTTTCATTCAACACAACCAAGCAAGAAAACTGACAGCCCCTGATAGATTGAGTAACAGATGAATATATAAAACATGATACATCGGGGGAGAGAAAGAGAGACCTGAGCAGAGAATTTGATGAAAAAACCCTAGCCGCGATAGGGAAGCAATAAATAAGTGAGATAGAGGGTTTAGGCTCTCCATTCCATTATGATGTTTTATAGTTTTATAGGAGAATTTTTTATTTTTATTTTTTATTTCTAACCGGTAAACCACGTCATTCTTCTAATAATAACCTCCCCGTTAAAAAAATGTATTTACCTTATCGACTTGAATTATTGAAACCCCGAATAATGGTATCACGTGATAATATCATAACACCATATGGTATAATAGTATACTAAGTATTTATTTGTTATATGATATCATTATTCAAAAATAAACTTATAAATAAATAAAATAAACTTCACTTTTTTACACATGATAATAATTTTCTTATATAAATATGATAGTTCTTAAATTAAATAGGATTTATTTATTTATATATTAGTTTATTATTGAATACTTACACGACGGAACTAGATTTGTTAACTTATCCGATTTGAATCAAATTTTGACTAATTTGAATTTGATTTTAATTTCAAAAGTCCAATCCAAATCCGATAATGTGACAAAATTTATTTTCGTTGTTCACACCTCAATTCGTTAATAATCTGAATTTCGATGCGATTTGAATAACTTAATTAACTAAATTTCTTTAAATAATCAATTAATTTCTTTAAAAGTTAATATAAAAATATATAAATAATTCGGATCAAACCATAATCAGATTGAATATACGTATATCCAAATCTAAATTCACGAAATATAAGATATTAGATTCAAATTCAAATTCGAGTTCAGATTATTGAAAAAAATATTAATTCATATTTAAATAATCGAATTCAAATTATAATCTGATGATCAATTGACAGGCATAAGTGGAATTGCACTATTCAATATTTTCTCATATTCAACATAACCAAGATTCAACAAAATTGAATTGATTGTATCCATTTTATTAGACATGATGCTACAATGTAAGAAGTTTAAAGTTGATTTTGAGAAGTTTAATACACTTAAAAAATTTGACATTACATGATAATTCATTTAATGACTTGGACACCGAATAAAATTTTATTGTTACACTATTAATTGGCCCTGTCAACATCGAATTCTAACTTCGTCCCTAATCACTCGTATGCTAAAATGACATTCACAATAGACCGGTTCCGTCATGCTTATTGAGCTATAATATGATGATTAGATCATAATAAAATAATGATCGGTCAGAATAATGATCGATCAGATAACAATATTGTCTGTAGATGGGCACGAAGATGCAACACTGTTGGCTTGCTGTGGAAGATTTTAGGATATCGACGCACAAAGGGGAAATTAGAATGAGGTATACCAAATTGGAGTTAATTGTAAAAAAATATACAAAAAAAATAAAAATTTTATAATATGTCTAATTAAACGACCATAAATTTTAGCACTTAAGATAAATATCTTGTTAAATTTTTTAGGAAAATTTTTTTTACAAAATGGACATTTACGTTTTGTATCTCAACTTAGTACTTTTTTCTAAAATATTTTGTTCTGTGTATTTTTTTATAATTATGTCTAATTTGGTGTACCAACTTCTAAAGAACCAATGAACAAAACTTTTTGACGAGCTCAGATCCTGTTGGGTCAAGCCCAAATAGTGAGGTGAGCCAAAATTACCTGCAAGGTGGGTCAAACTCAATTCATCGATCAACTCAGTCTAAGGCCCAAGAAATTCAAGAAGATTAGAGCACATGATGAACAATCATTGGGATGCCCATTTTCGAATATATAGGCAATCTTTAATTGTACTTATCTTTTGTAGTTATACTCTCCGAAAGACTAGTGTCTTTATCTTCACATCAGCGCTTCAACTAAGGATTTGTATTTATAAATTATAAGTTTTCTCTACATGAGAAGGCATCTCCCTACACACCCCTCACATAATTATTTCTCTCTCTTAAGTGTCATATCTCTCTCGGAACTAACATTTGCGCTTTCTCTCTCACCTTATTTTATTAATAAAGGTTATTCGGTCACCGTTGTTATTTTTGGGAGTGTAGTAGGTCATCTTGACTGAATCATTATATACATGTGTATTGACCCAGTATACCTATGTGTTTACCTTTTTGCCATTGATTACTTTATTAATTGTTTAATTAATATCTTGCATTATTTCACTTGACCGTTAATCTTGTATAAGTTTATTTTGTATATCATCACTTTACATAAATTTGGAATTTAAATTTGAGTTAAATCTTTACTTTGAATTTGAGTAGGAGTGATAATCCAAACCTACAATTCGTCAATCCATCTAACCTCATCCCAAAATTTAATCGTTGCATATAACATTTATTTTTGCGGGTTGTACACAGGTTATGCTATATAAATTACATTAATTATATGGTTGTTTATATATATATATATATATTGAGAAAGTGGGTTGTTTACTATCTTGACTTTACGTGAGCACAAAACCTTAAATCCATTGTCGTTAACGCCACCATTTGCAACACCATTTCCTCCTTACCGTCACCGTCACCGCCACCGCTAACACCACTATTATTGTCATCGCCAACATCACCATCTCAAAAAATTAGTTGGGGGTTAAGGAAGGTAGGAAACAAATTAGAATAAACAAGTTAAATGATTTTAAATTAAGTGTGACAATCAAATTGTGTCAGGTTATTGTGGGTTTGTGTCGAACATTAGTCAATTCTAACCTAACACATTTAATTAATCGCGTCTTGTCGAGTTGACCTGTTTATTTTTGTGTCGTGTTCGTATTTGTGTTGATCCACATAAATTTTGAATAAAAAATTTAACATTAATATTTTATTTTTAATTAATTTAATAAACATAATAATAATAAGTAAAAATATTTTTTTATACAATAATTATGTCAGTGCTTAATAAACGGTTACAAATAATTAACATTTAATTTCTATAATATTAGTTAAACATGTTAATTTCATGTTACCATACAAACGAAAAAATAGAAAAAAATTTCATTCTTAAATTAACAGTTTGATCGTTTCAATTTCAAGTTTAGCGTGTTGAATCCAAACATCACCCATTTATATTTCGTTTTCGCGTGTTGAATCATTTTGAATTCTTGTCGAGTTATAACCAAGTTCGTGTCATAAAATTTATATAAAGTTCGAATCTTGTCGTCGCATTGTTATGATGAGTCGAAAATTGCCACCCCTATTCAAAGTATACCCACTAAAAGATCTTTAAATTAAGAGTAATAGGTCTAATAAAGTGATATAATTTACGAACATAATAATTTCCAATAAAAACATTTGAAAGTTACCATCACAACAACATTATTACTTATTAGACTATATCACTGTCATGTCATGATATTAATAAATTAAATTAATTTTTAAATTTTCAATAGCATTACTCTTATGCACAACATAATCACATGGATTCTTCAAAATTACAATCCAAAATTTTTAGGGTCCATCACTATACACCATCCACCCCTGTTTTGTCGTATGTCTAACATACTAAACCCTACAATGACCAAAAATGGTCTATTTCTTAGTCAATCCTGGCTAACCAACCAGTCACGCTCGCGGAACGCCACCAAACGAAGCCTTCACGACGGCGTTTGCGTGGTGGCAGCCACCACAACCCAAAGCCCTAATCAGTCCCCACCATCCCTTCATTCTGCTCCCTTCAACAGAGGCCACCTTCTCACCGCCGTCGTTGGGTCGGAACGACGTTGACTTTCGTCGCATCTGCCTGGTTCTCATATCTTTCAGCTCCATCTCCGTTGGAAACCTAGACAATCCGAACATGAAAAAGTACCACTTAGACTTGGCCGACGACGTCCGAACGGCTACCCTTATATCATATTTTTTGGTCCACTTTTCGGTAGTGTGTCTATGTTTCTCCGGCACCGGCGATTCCAAAGACTTTGAACTCGAAACATACTGCAAATTTGACACACTCTTTTCCGATTTAGATCCACGGAACGCCATCGACGGCCACCGGAAAAGGCCTCGGTTTCTGTGTTCTTGCTCTTTGTTGCTTTCTTGTTTATGGATATGGGNGCACAAAACCTTAAATCCATTGTCGTTAACGCCACCATTTGCAACACCATTTCCTCCTTACCGTCACCGTCACCGCCACCGCTAACACCACTATTATTGTCATCGCCAACATCACCATCTCAAAAAATTAGTTGGGGGTTAAGGAAGGTAGGAAACAAATTAGAATAAACAAGTTAAATGATTTTAAATTAAGTGTGACAATCAAATTGTGTCAGGTTATTGTGGGTTTGTGTCGAACATTAGTCAATTCTAACCTAACACATTTAATTAATCGCGTCTTGTCGAGTTGACCTGTTTATTTTTGTGTCGTGTTCGTATTTGTGTTGATCCACATAAATTTTGAATAAAAAATTTAACATTAATATTTTATTTTTAATTAATTTAATAAACATAATAATAATAAGTAAAAATATTTTTTTATACAATAATTATGTCAGTGCTTAATAAACGGTTACAAATAATTAACATTTAATTTCTATAATATTAGTTAAACATGTTAATTTCATGTTACCATACAAACGAAAAAATAGAAAAAAATTTCATTCTTAAATTAACAGTTTGATCGTTTCAATTTCAAGTTTAGCGTGTTGAATCCAAACATCACCCATTTATATTTCGTTTTCGCGTGTTGAATCATTTTGAATTCTTGTCGAGTTATAACCAAGTTCGTGTCATAAAATTTATATAAAGTTCGAATCTTGTCGTCGCATTGTTATGATGAGTCGAAAATTGCCACCCCTATTCAAAGTATACCCACTAAAAGATCTTTAAATTAAGAGTAATAGGTCTAATAAAGTGATATAATTTACGAACATAATAATTTCCAATAAAAACATTTGAAAGTTACCATCACAACAACATTATTACTTATTAGACTATATCACTGTCATGTCATGATATTAATAAATTAAATTAATTTTTAAATTTTCAATAGCATTACTCTTATGCACAACATAATCACATGGATTCTTCAAAATTACAATCCAAAATTTTTAGGGTCCATCACTATACACCATCCACCCCTGTTTTGTCGTATGTCTAACATACTAAACCCTACAATGACCAAAAATGGTCTATTTCTTAGTCAATCCTGGCTAACCAACCAGTCACGCTCGCGGAACGCCACCAAACGAAGCCTTCACGACGGCGTTTGCGTGGTGGCAGCCACCACAACCCAAAGCCCTAATCAGTCCCCACCATCCCTTCATTCTGCTCCCTTCAACAGAGGCCACCTTCTCACCGCCGTCGTTGGGTCGGAACGACGTTGACTTTCGTCGCATCTGCCTGGTTCTCATATCTTTCAGCTCCATCTCCGTTGGAAACCTAGACAATCCGAACATGAAAAAGTACCACTTAGACTTGGCCGACGACGTCCGAACGGCTACCCTTATATCATATTTTTTGGTCCACTTTTCGGTAGTGTGTCTATGTTTCTCCGGCACCGGCGATTCCAAAGACTTTGAACTCGAAACATACTGCAAATTTGACACACTCTTTTCCGATTTAGATCCACGGAACGCCATCGACGGCCACCGGAAAAGGCCTCGGTTTCTGTGTTCTTGCTCTTTGTTGCTTTCTTGTTTATGGATATGGGTGTATTCTTCGGAGACTGGTTCTTTGAATGGAATAAGCTTTCCGCAGAAGATGATGTTTTCGGACGAGAAACTAGATGTGGTACTCCAATCTTCACTGAAGAATTCAAAGCAGTCTTGCTCTGACGACGAAGACGACAAGCTTTGATATTCTTGGGAGAAGTCTTTATAATCTGCAGCGTCGCTATATATGGGAAGATCACATAGGGACAATGTTTCTTCTGCTTCATCTAAGGCTTCTACCATGGTGTTTTCTGATACCAAGTCTAGGTAGGGCTCTTGGGCAACCATCGGTGCTTCAATGGAGGAATGAATTTAGGAAGAGGGTCGTGAGGAAAGTAGCTGTTTTCTCAATTATTTATGTGTTAGGAGTCTGGAGAGAGACTTGCACATATAAATAGATGGTGGGTAAGAGATTAGAATCTCCAGCCATTGGTATTGTTTGGATTTATTTGTGACTATTGGGTCGTAAGAATAATAAAGTAAAACCATAAAATATAAAATTGGATGGGTTGAACTTGTCTGATAGATCTTGAGTTTGAGTTTTGATAATTTTTTAGCGTTATAAAATAGAGATTTATCTCTCATGAATATTTTAATCTAAACGTAGATAATCTGTCTTTGATCGAATTAAAGAGAATTAATCAAAATACCTGTTAAACTTAAAATAAAAACTTGACGAGAGACCGATTCGAATTTAATTGATCAAGGTACAACAATGAGAGATCAACTCAGAATTTAATTGATCAAGGTACAACAATTTTAACTGGATTTCAAACCAAATCCTTCAACCCCAGTATTGCCTTTGCTATAATTTTTTTTATCTTGGTTTATTTAACTTAGGCAGATAGTCATCAAGTGTTACACAACTCAAGCTAAAATTTAGCTTTAATTTGGAGTGAAATCAAATTATTAACTCGATTTTTAGGTTTCAAAAATTAGAACCCAATTTCATACAACATTAATTATAAATATCTCTTTTTAAAAAAAAATTTATCTAAACACTGATTATTTTTAGGCTGGATTAAGAATGGTATGTCTAAGTTTTACACCTTACCAAGGGCCTGCTTGACTGGTACTTGGTGCAGCTTCTAGAGGAAGAGAAAAGGTGAATTGATTGATAAGGTTTCTAGAGGAAAGTGAATGGTGAAGCATAAAGAAAAGAATAAAGAGAGAATTGTACCAATACTAATCCTCTACTCTTCTAGAATAGTAGGCGTTGAAACGGACAAAACGTGGTCATAGCCTCCAACCTAACTAAATATATTGGTGAGTTGTTGCATGCCTTTGGTGGATGGAGCTTTCGACCAATATAAGGCCAACAGTTTGATAGTTTCTTTATTTATGTTTGTCTTGAATCAAGAACACCCCCCCCCTTTTTCCCCCACCTCCCCCCTCTAATATATATATATTTATTTTTTTGGTAGATAATTTATTATTAATAAACGAGATCCATTTTTATAAAACAACATTTAAATAAATGATATATAATTTATCAAGAATAAAATTTAAAAGATATATATTAGAGAGGGTATCAATCTATTTATCTTAAATGCTATGAATGCATTCAATCAGAGACGGAAGTAGCTCGTGGGTTGGGCCCCTCCTCCCTGTTCAAGAACTACCATGCACGTATATCTATAGATTTACATAAGACATGTTTCAATAAGTTTATCTGACGATCTCAATTAAACTCATCCAACGACCATTAATATTACTTTCAAAACTATTCACTTTGAATTTATCCTCCTCTCCCCCTTAATCAATTATTTTTCACTTACGTTGCACCATATTTTCAGACACGGGTTACTTCTAATATATCTATATCATTGAGCACTAATTTTTGTAATGCATTGATCTTTTAGATAATTTTTATCCCTATTTTTAGTCATTTACACCTATAATGACTCCTTGAAATATTCTTCATGTAACGAAATGATCTGTTTCCCATATTCTAATAAAATAATCAAAGAATTCTAGTGGAAAAATCTTGACAATATTGACACAAGAACTCTTGGTAATCGGTACTAAGAAGTTAATAAAAAATAATAATTTTTTGATTATACCTAATAAACGCACAACTTCTAACAAATATAGGCCTAAATGTTGAAAATTCTAAAAAAGCTTAAAAAAGACTTCAACAATTCTTTGTTTCGTTATAGAAATACAAAATTACTGACGGAAGGTAAAAGAAAAATGAAGTTGTTTTACTGTCACTGAGTGTTCTAGTTCTTGTTTACAAATTTTGACTAATATTTTAGATGTGGTAAGAGTATAGTATTTATTGAATCGTGCAAAACATTTTTTTGATGTAAACTATGATATACTTTTGATTTAGTGGTTGTTTCTACTTTTTTTTTTAATGTGTTACTTATGATATATGCTCGATTAGTGTTTGTCATTTTTTTTTTGATATATTTTAAACTCTATAAATTAGGATTTTTACCATTTTAGTATGAGTTTTTGTATAGAAATTACCCCCAACAAAGAAATCTTGATTCCGTCCCCGTCCCTGTCCCTGTCCCTGTCCCTGCATGGAATGGTAGCGCTCTACGTGGTTGTTAATGGTTGAGGTCAGCCTAACAGGCTTGATTAATAGTATGTGGGTGCTAAGTGGAGCACTTGTGTGTGGGGCTTAGTTCTAGACCTTGGGCCCACATTGGTAGACCTTTCACACATTTTCTTTTATTATTTTTTGGGGAAAATTTGCAATCCTGACTTTTCCCAGGATTACTGAAATTGAGGAGAGTTTCCTGGAATTTTTTGGAATTACATTATGCATCCTATCAGAGTATTGCCGATCATTTGAATGGTTTTTCAATGTAATCTATTAATCATAGATTTAATTCTATTCTCGATATAAAATTATCGATCGTGTATATATGGTGAAATCGTCTTAAATGTGCTCAATAGTATACTAGTATAGGATTCATATCTTATTTAATATATTTTATTTTAAAATTTTGTAATACTAAGTTATTTATCTTATATCCAAATACGGTCTATGTATTTAGACGAATCTGTCGTATATAAAAAGATGAATGACTTAATATCGAAATAAATTCAAACCAATTTTAACACTTCTTCTTCTAGAGTGAAAATGGTCTCTCACTTCTAGAGGGATGGGTATGTACTTCTTGTCTTCTTGCTTAGCAAGTCGTAGTCGTGTCTTGCTTTTCTAGTACCCCATAGTTAACTCTAGTTCTTGAGTTTTTCTCTTCTCTTTCTTTTTCCATTTTGGACTTTTTCTCTTTCGTAATGGTCATACCTTATCAGACGAAACTAGATGCTTGGAAGAGTTGTTTGTATCCAGACCCATTTGAATATTATTTCCGAGTGTCCAACCTTATCAACTTGCAGCGGAAGTAAGAATTATAAAGTTTTTTTTTTTGAATCGAGACTATTCTAATCATACGTCTTTTTAACTCATTACTGTAATATATAATACAATATAATGCATATAATACTCACAAATCTTAAATTTTCAGCAATTCTAGATATTTTATGTTGTAATCTAAACTACAATTGATGATGCACAAATTGAGTTTGCATATCACCTGTCAAATATGAATAATAAATGCAGTAATTAAAGTAAAGAGAAAACAAGAATTATAGTGGTTCGATCAAAGTGACCTACGTCCACTTTTGAATGGTTAGGGTCGCTGGGTACTTTATCAAATCAAGAGTGTAGGGAGAGGAAAAAGCTACAAGCTCCGAGGGAGAGGAGAGAGTTGTGCTCAACAAAGTGTTATCTTGCCCTCCAAGTGTTGGTGGGGGTTACATTTTATAGTCGCCCTCCTAACAGCTTTGAGCGAGGTATTAGCAACTAGCTGGCTAGTTTGTTGGATCTGATGTCCTCCTCTCAACGGACGAGGTGGTTACGGGACTCTCCATGAGATGCGGTCAAAGGATGGCTTGAGGTATTTACTATTTCCAAGGCAACATGGATGAGACTCTTGCATGCTCTCATTATGACGTAGCCAAGCTGATATAGCTCCCTGATTAGCTTGACTGGATTTGGACCACATTGGGCTTGGTGGTTCTTTATAAGATTGGGCTCTTAGTTAAAATTGGATTTTTCACACGAATTGGGCCATTTGGGCTTGACCCGTCATTTGCCCTCAATGCCTCGTGTCTAAGGAAACTTGGAAAAGGGGGCATTAGTTTGAATCTTGAGCTCTGGGTGGTGGAGACTCCCTCTACTAGATGACTCTTTCTCCTTTATGATATATTTTTGCCCGGCTGAACACCTCAAGTCTTTTCCATTTTTACTTGATTTTTTAAGAGAGCCCTTCATTTTTAATTTGAGTTTTTCCCTCTTTGAAAACCCTAGGCTATAAATAGAAAACCTCCTTCCTTATTCTTGTTCATTTCCTTCCCCTTGAGATTTGAACTCCTTGAAAACCTTGAGAGTCCAAGTTCTACCCATTCCATTGCAACTTGAGATAGTGAAGGAAAGTGTCCTCCTTGAAATCCTTCGACAACTTAAGGGTGAGATTCTTGAACCCATCATCTAGAGCAATGTCCATTGAAGGAGAAAGGTTTGCAAATCGTGGTGGAGAGATGGAGTCAGATGTGGCCATTAGATAGAAGGAATTGAATAGTGCTGGAGTAGAAGAAGCAAGGGCAAAAGTGTCGAGTGGGGAGCGAGCAAGTGGGCGAACGGACCAGGCCGCTGTTCCATTGTTGTCTGGCGAGGCGACCCAAGGAGCGCTACACGGGAGGAGGGCTGCCCAGGCTGGTACCGAGGTGCCATAGGCACCGATTATGCCATTTATTGGGCGCGACAAAGAGGAGGCGAGGGGGGCACGCCTGTATTGGGCGAGCAAACCAAGAAAGAGGTCTTGAGCGAGCGGTTAAAGAAGTCAAGCAAGCTTGTCGTTGTGTTGGGCGAGCCTGCTACAACACTAAGTGCCCATGCAGACGAGAGAGATCAGGTGAGGGAGGAGCAAATAGGGTGCGCTAGGGATTTTGGGTGTGCTTGGACTGCTGGGTGCACATCCCAAGCGTTGGGCGCCGTGAACCAGGTGTTGGGCACCACGTCCAAGGCATTGGGTACCGAGGCCAGGACAGCCCAATCGCTGGGTGTTGTGGTCGAGGCAGGCGAGATGCTACTTGCGAGCACTTTCAATAATGATATTCCCGGGGCTGATGAACTGGTTCCTTCAAGTGGAACTCTTCAAAGTCAGATTCCCTAAGACCTCCCTAGTAGTGGCTCAAGTAATTCCTCACACCTCTGCAACAAAAATATAAAAGCAAAGTAGCTCCTACCAATGATGGGTCCCAAGTAAGTACCCTGTCTAGCACTTTAAATACAGACGCCGATATTTTGCGGATTGTTTTCGCCTACCACATTCCTCCGATTGTGTTGTGTCGACGACCAGAGATGAGCAAGCCTAAGAGTGATGACTTCTGTGTTGACATTGTCATTTATAAGGAGATACTTGAGGCTGGGCTCAGGTTCTCAATGCCTCCTTCGGTTTGTGGCATCTTGAATTATTTTTCATTGACCTCGGGGCGGTTGGCGCCCAATGGTTGGAGGGTTTTGCTAGCCTTTCTGGAATTGTGGAGGAAGGTGCACCATGAAGATGCCTCTCCTGTCAAGTTTCACGCAGCTTATTACCCGAGTAAGACTCCTACTCCTAACCGAGGCTGGTACTATTTCACTCCGAGGGGAAGCAAGTTACTGGAGTGCCCTCCAATTGCCATAGTTGGAAGTCTCATTTTATATTCGTTGGTGGAGAGTGGGCTTTAGATGTTGATAGGGCATTGGTTCCATCATGATGGGTTACTCCAAAGAAAGTTGGTACACACCATATACTTACCATTTTCTTACCACATTCCTTGTAGGATGTGTATTCACCACACTCCTTGCAGGTTCTCCTGTGCTCTCCAAGGATTAAGAGTGAAAGCCGTAGGCAGTGCGAGCTCATCCTAAAAGGGACTTTGGAGCTTTCATGCTCAAAGATGGAGGAGTTAGTGCTTCCCCTTCGGTTTGTGCTAAGGTTGCTACTCCCTCCCTGAAGTCCGGTGGCTCCTTTTCTAAGAGGAAAGGTGAGTTAATTCTTTTGTACCCTCCTCTTTTACTTGGTGTTATTTTTTCTTTTATCTCGGTGACACTTTATTTTCTTTACAGTAGTAGATAAGGAGGTGATTGAGTCTCGCCTCACTAGTAGGAGTCCTCCTCCTCCCAAGGTGGCGAGGACTTTTCAGGTGGGTCATGTCTCCCAAGTGACCTCTCCAACGGTGCCGCCCGAGGTGAGCTCTCAGTCAACCCCTCCAATGGTACCTCGGGCGCCTTCCTATCAAGTGACCCCTCCAGAGGTGTCTCCTCAGTCAGAGACTCCTTCATTTGCATCTCCTTCGTCGGCCACCCCTTCTGCCCCCCATGCATCTACTCCTCCTGTGGGGATTTTTACTGGGGCACCTTCTCAGATTGGCTTCATGCTAGGTAACGTACGGGTCATCAAGGAGCAGCTTGAGAGGTTTGTGTTTTTCAATTATGTGAATGAGATTAGTTCCTTGGGCACCGAGGGAATTCTCAACTCTTTTCTGGAAAGCTGGGCTCAGGTAAGGGTTTGTTATTTTCCCCTTACTCTCTTCCTTCCATAAGTGTCTGACATCCTTTTTCCTTTTGTTTTCCTTCAAGCCTCAATCGCATCTATATGTTTACTTTCAAGGACCCTTCTTTATCATAAGCTGAAACACGATCATGAAGTCATGCAAAATGAGCTTCTTGTTGCTCAGGGAAGGATTGCTGAGCTTGAAGCTGTTGGCAGGGCTTCTGAGGTTGATTTGTTGGTGACCCGTAAGAGGGCGGCCAAGCTCGAGGCTAAGCTTAAGAAGGCCCGTGAGAGGGCAACTAAGCTTGATTATGAACTTTTGACGATCCATGAGAGGGACGCGCTCAGGAAAGCTGAGCTTACAGAGTCCCGCGAGAGGGCCATGCTCAGACAGGCTGCCGCGGAGGTAGAATTCAGAAAGTTTTATTTATTCAATGTTCATGTCAAGCAACATTGGGTAATAACCCCACAAAAAAAAGTAAAAATAAAATCAAATCCCCCATTTTTCTTTTCTATTCTCTCAAAATATCACTGGTAGTACCTCTTCAAGTGCTCAGCATTCCATGGATGGGGCAAAACCTTCCCCTCAAAATTCTGTATCCTGTAGGTGTCTGGTCTCACCACTTCTGTTATGAGGTATGGTCCTTCCCAATTTGGTTCCCTTTTCCTTTCTTGTGAATCCTTTGTGGCGATGATCACTTTCTTAAGGACCAAGTTTCCTGGGCGGAAAGAATGAGGCTTCACCTCGAGTTGTAGTACTTTATCATATGGCGCTTGTACTCCATATTGCAGATCACAACCATTTTTCTTACCTCATCCACCAAGTCGAGGTTGATGTGGAGTTCTTTCTCGTTGGTGATGGGTCGTGGTGTTGGACCCTTAGAAAATGCACCCCGATCTCCACAGGGATGACTGTGTCAGTTCCAAAGGCGAGAGAAAAGGGGATTTCTCCAGTTGGCATTCTTGGCGTGGTTCGGTAGGCCCATAGTATGCCTAGGAGTTCGTCAACCCAAATACCCTTCGTTCTTTCGAGCCTTGTCTTTAGGTTGCGTAACACGGTTCTCACCATGACTTCCACTTGTCCGTTTGCCTGTGGATGCGTTGGACTAGAATGAGACTACTTTATCTAAAGGTCGAAGTAGAAAGAGTTCAGGAGCTTATTGTCGAATTATTTGGTATTGTCACTAACAATGGCATAGGGTATCCTGAAGCGATATACCAGATTTTTTCAGATAAAATCTTTCACCTTTGCATCTGTTATCTTCGCTAAGGGTCCGGCCTCCGCCCATTTGGTGAAGTAGTCAACTACTATTACCACAAACTTGCACTGTCCTTTACTAAGAGGTAGGGGGCCTAGGATGTCGATGCCCCATTTAGAGAAAGGCCACGAACTTGTGACGACCGTGAGTTCTTTTGGCGGCTACCTGTGTATATGTATAGTGGCGAAGCGCTGACACTTGCCACACTTCTTGGCAAACTCCTGAGTATCCTTCATCATGCTAGGCCAAAAGTAGCCTTATTTGAGTGCTTTATGTGTGAGGAAGCATTCTCTAGAGTGATTTTCATGCACCCCTTCATGGATCTCCCGTAAGGCATAGTCAGCTTCTTTGGGTGAAAGATACTGCAGCAATGGCAAAGAGTAACCCTTCTTGTATAAGGTATCCTGTAAGATGGTAAACTTTGAGGCTCTCATTCTTAGTTTCTTGGCTTCAAGGGGATCATCTGGCAACACGCCTTTTTGGAGGTATGCCCTTATAGAGGTCATCTAGTTTGCAGAAGTGTAGTTGACGTTTGTGGTGTCTACGTCTAGCCTACTTAGTTGGAACAGGTGACCAATGAATGCTGGTCCTCCCTGTGAGGCTTCAAAGGATGAGGCGAGTCTGGCGAGTGCATCTGCAGCCATGTTGTCTTCTCTTGGGATGTGATAGATTTGGAAGTATTGAAACTTCGTGATTAAGCTTTTCACCATACCAAGGTACTCCTGCATTCTAGCTCCTCTTGCTTCGAACTCGTCATTTATTTGATTTACTATAAGATTAGAATCACTGTACGTGGCGAGGTGCTGGACTTCCATTTCGGTCGCCAATCTTAAGCCAGAGAGGAGTGATTTGTATTCTGTCTCATTATTGGAGGCAGTAAAGTGGAGCTTCACTGCATAAATGATGGGAGTGTGGTCGAAGCTGATCAGGATTAGAGCTGCTCCACCTCTTTCACTGGTCGAGGNTTCTGTATCCTGTAGGTGTCTGGTCTCACCACTTCTGTTATGAGGTATGGTCCTTCCCAATTTGGTTCCCTTTTCCTTTCTTGTGAATCCTTTGTGGCGATGATCACTTTCTTAAGGACCAAGTTTCCTGGGCGGAAAGAATGAGGCTTCACCTCGAGTTGTAGTACTTTATCATATGGCGCTTGTACTCCATATTGCAGATCACAACCATTTTTCTTACCTCATCCACCAAGTCGAGGTTGATGTGGAGTTCTTTCTCGTTGGTGATGGGTCGTGGTGTTGGACCCTTAGAAAATGCACCCCGATCTCCACAGGGATGACTGTGTCAGTTCCAAAGGCGAGAGAAAAGGGGATTTCTCCAGTTGGCATTCTTGGCGTGGTTCGGTAGGCCCATAGTATGCCTAGGAGTTCGTCAACCCAAATACCCTTCGTTCTTTCGAGCCTTGTCTTTAGGTTGCGTAACACGGTTCTCACCATGACTTCCACTTGTCCGTTTGCCTGTGGATGCGTTGGACTAGAATGAGACTACTTTATCTAAAGGTCGAAGTAGAAAGAGTTCAGGAGCTTATTGTCGAATTATTTGGTATTGTCACTAACAATGGCATAGGGTATCCTGAAGCGATATACCAGATTTTTTCAGATAAAATCTTTCACCTTTGCATCTGTTATCTTCGCTAAGGGTCCGGCCTCCGCCCATTTGGTGAAGTAGTCAACTACTATTACCACAAACTTGCACTGTCCTTTACTAAGAGGTAGGGGGCCTAGGATGTCGATGCCCCATTTAGAGAAAGGCCACGAACTTGTGACGACCGTGAGTTCTTTTGGCGGCTACCTGTGTATATGTATAGTGGCGAAGCGCTGACACTTGCCACACTTCTTGGCAAACTCCTGAGTATCCTTCATCATGCTAGGCCAAAAGTAGCCTTATTTGAGTGCTTTATGTGTGAGGAAGCATTCTCTAGAGTGATTTTCATGCACCCCTTCATGGATCTCCCGTAAGGCATAGTCAGCTTCTTTGGGTGAAAGATACTGCAGCAATGGCAAAGAGTAACCCTTCTTGTATAAGGTATCCTGTAAGATGGTAAACTTTGAGGCTCTCATTCTTAGTTTCTTGGCTTCAAGGGGATCATCTGGCAACACGCCTTTTTGGAGGTATGCCCTTATAGAGGTCATCTAGTTTGCAGAAGTGTAGTTGACGTTTGTGGTGTCTACGTCTAGCCTACTTAGTTGGAACAGGTGACCAATGAATGCTGGTCCTCCCTGTGAGGCTTCAAAGGATGAGGCGAGTCTGGCGAGTGCATCTGCAGCCATGTTGTCTTCTCTTGGGATGTGATAGATTTGGAAGTATTGAAACTTCGTGATTAAGCTTTTCACCATACCAAGGTACTCCTGCATTCTAGCTCCTCTTGCT